AAGGACACAGAAGCAATGAAGCAGACAAGAGTGCAAGGCTGTCATGTTGCCCTTCCTTTATTTTATTCCACATGAACGAGATTGGGAACCAGGAGACCCACAGCACAGCTGGCTAGGACTCCCATGGTGCTGAGTTTGAATCCCAACCCTGACATCTTGACCCCGCCTGAGACCTCGAGCAAGTAAGTCTCCACCCCAGCAAGGCTGCACGAGGATAAGAAAGCATTCAGGTGCTCAGGCAACAGGAATAGAACCTATGACTTGGCAGCCGCAGGGGGAAGGTTTCAGGTGTCAGGGGGTGACAGCTATTTTCCGACACTTGAAGACAGTCTGTCTGTCTCCCACGGCTGGGAACAGCTCAAACCAGGCCAGGTTAGGGGCGCCCCCCGCCCTCCTTGCTGAGAGAAACAGAGGTAGTGATTAAGAGCACGTAATTGCCTCCCTCCTGCCTGGGAGGTAAATATCTTTCTGTGGGAGCCTGCTGTTCGGGACTGTCTTTTCTAGGCTGTGAGCATAGAGGCAGCCGTTGTCAGGCACGCTTGGATCCCAGGGGATGGGGGAGATTTGTACCTACTGTGTGCTCGGTCAGAACTTATAGAGACAGAATATTGTGTGGAAGTGGAGACTGTGGGCTCTGAAGGATAGAGAATGTCAGCCCCTCCTCTGGAAGGTTGGCCCCTCCCACTCGAGTGTCAGCTCCTCCCCCAGAATGTTGGCTCCTCCCCATTCAAATATAGGTCCCGCCCACAGGAATGTCTGTGCCTCCAAGGTGGGGGTCTTTCTCTCCTTCACCTTTCTGACTTTAGTACCATTCCTCTGACAGGCAATCAATAAACATAATTGGATGGATTAGTGGGGTCAGACTGCTCAAGTCCTGACTACCACTGACCTGCTGTGTGACCTCTGGTGAGTGACTTTACCTCTCTGAGTTTCAAATTGCTTCATCAATGGGCATGATCAGAGTAGCGCTCTCACAGTGTCAAAATGCTGATTTCGGGAGTCCACAGGTTTATAAAGCTTCGGACAGGACCTGGTGCCCAGAACATGATCAACACCTGTGAGCTGTCCTTTTGGGATGAATGAAGGAGTGAATCTATTCCTTGAGTTCTCATAGAAATCATATTAGAGAAGGATTTTCAGTCCCTATTTGACGGAGTAAGAATCTGAGGTTTAGGGCGTCTTCCACCCCCACCCCCATCACTGACGCTGATCAAGGAAATGCTGATTCCCTCACCGGGCCACGCCGAGAGGCTGTGCTTTCTCTGGGTCTCTAAACCTACCTTACCAACCATGACGGTTACTCTCCAGTCAAAGACCAAGATCTCCCCCAAGAGATTCTGGCAGCGGCTGTGAAAACCACAGTCTCCTTGAAAGACTACTTAACCACATTCATTAGAAAATCAATGCAAATTAAAAACCTCATCGGGATCCCACTATTCTCTGAGAAGGCGGGGAGATCAAAGAAGCTGACAGTGTGGTTGCGTTGGCGAAGCTTTGGGAAACTGCCTTTCCAAGAGCGCTGTGGCGGAGTCTGGCAACATCTAACACATCCTCTGACCCTGCCAGTCCCCGAGGAAAGATCTATTCTAACAGATGACAAGAGTGATAATAGCAAACACACCACATCTCCAAGGGGCCAGGCACCGAACTAAGTTCCTTACCCACATTAATTTAGCATGTAATCATCACAGCGACTTTTTGAGGGATGTACTGTTAGATCGCCATTTCACACAGGTGGAAACTGAGGCATGGAGAGTGGAAGCAACTAGATCATGGTCACCCAGCTATAAGCAGTCGTCTTCTTGGAGTGTCCACTGAAGTTCACAAGGACAAATGTAAAAGAATATTATTGTTGGAGACAGAGAATGAGAGAACCAGTTTCTTCACATTATTCACTTTTTTCTTTTTTGTTAATTTCCTCATTATTATCTATCTATGCTTTCTTTCAGATTTTACTGCATTCATTTTATTGTGCTTTATCTAGCCTCTTGAATTGTTCGCTTTGCTCATCTCCTTTCAAATTAGCATTTTTCTAATTAGCATTCGAAGCTATAGCTTTTCCTCAGAGTATAACTTTGGCCCTACTTCACAAGTTTTGTTGTGTAGAGTGCTCATTTCTAAATAAATGGCACTCCAGTTTCATTCTTCCATTTAATCCATGAGTTACCTAGAGGGTGTTTTGAAATGTGCAAAGCAATCTGAGTGTTTGTGGTTATTCTTTGTTATTATTTTCTCATTTTGAATGTAGTCCGTATTACTTCTTCTTTTGGAAATCAACCTGTGCTGTGTTTGTGACCCATAGTACACTGTTGTGGTGGGGGGGTGGGGAGAATATCATTGCAGGACTCTGATTTTTTTTTAATACTGTGAAGTCCATTATTGGGACAACTAGTAAATTTGAATATAGATTGTTTATTAGACAATGTCAATGTTACAGTTCTTGAAGGTGGTGTTGATACTATGGTTGTGCTGGAGAAATGGCCTTGTTCTTAAGAGACACAGATTAAAGAATTTACAGGTGAAATATCTTAAAGTCTGCACATACTTTCAAAAAGTTCAACATTTTTTAGAGGTGCCTCTGATCAACAACTGTGATGAGAGTTCCTTCCCTCAGCCTCCCAGACTTCACATCTCCCAGGGGGTCTGTTCATCACTTGGGTGTACCGTGGTATGTACATATGTATGTATGTAGAGAGATTAGATAGACAGGTGTATATTTAAAGAGAAGAAGAGAGAAATACACAGATAAGTAGAGAGAGAGGAAAGGCTGACAGAGACAAAGACAGAAATAGAACAATAGGGAAATATACCAACAAGGAGAAAGAGAAAGGAAGAGACAGGGGAGGGAAAATATATGAGAATGGGCAAATATTAACATTTGATAGATTTAGTTGAAAGGTACATTGCATTATTCTTGTAACTGTAGATTTGAAAAGTTTCAAATGAAAAATTTGAAAGGAAAAAGGCAAGGCAAAAAATTACCAATAAACATTAGGGTAGAGATCATTTTTAAAGGAGATAGAAGAGTGTTTGGGAGTGGGAGGGAGAGGAGTGCTGGGTTGGCTGACAGTGTTCTATTCCACAGCCTGTGAAGTTGCATGAATGTTCACTCTGTGATAAGTCAATTCCTCCACTCTTGTTTCTGTGTTGTTTGGAATGGGTTATATTGAATAATTTTTAAGGTTCAATAATATCATTGAAGCATTTTCAAAGCAAGCTAAATGCCCATCAATGGGGGATGGGTAAAATACCTTTGCATCCAAACCAGGAAATATTTGACAACCAGCACTGAAAAATTATGTCAGATTTCATGTAGTGTATGCAACCATCTCCGAAATATCCTTTTAATAAAACACACACGCACACACAATGTAAGATAATGTAAACACATGTTCTGTTTGAGCCCAAAATGCTTATGCATGCATGCCGAGGATACCTGGAAGGATACACAAGAAACTGACAACAGTCTCTGGTGAAAAAAGATGGAATGGAGGGTCTGGAAGGAGTGGAAGAATCATTTTCTTTTTTACTATGTGCCTACATTAAAGTTTTTGGGGGGAGGGGCAAGTAATTATGTTTATTTACTTATTTTTTTATTTTTAGAGGAGGTACTGGGGATTGAGCCCAGGACCTTATGCATGCTAAGCATGTACTCTTCCACTGAGCTATATCCCTAAAGTTTTGTTTTTAATAAATCATTTTCCCCAGCTTATTTTTTAAGGTGCTTCTATCCTCCATAATATTTGGACATTGTATCATTTCATCTTCTCTTCATCCATGAAATATGAAAGCATTTGGTCCAGTATTACAGAGAGAACCGAGGCTCTGAGTGGGGAGTTCTTAGGGCTAATCAGAGCAGGACCAGAGCCATTTCTTCTGATTATGAACAAGTAGCATGATAGCTTTTGGTTCAGGTTTTTAAAAATGTTTGCCTCTACCTAGAACCAAGGGAATTGTCCACTGTTACCAGGGACCACTTGGATTTCTGTTCCTGGAAAAGAGTATTTATTATACACATCAGTAGGGCTGCTATGGGTTTCAAGTAACAGAAAACCTGATTCCAAACGGCTTCAACAATAAGGAAATTTATTACGTTGCTCACACAAGTTCCAAAGATTGGCAGCATAATAGTTAAGGTATAGATTCAGCTGCTATAACAGAGACACAAAATAACAGTCACTTCAGTGAACTAGAAGTCAAAGTCTCTCTCTTCACAGCATGGATGTAAGCATTCCAGGGCTGGTAAGGGGACACAGTCACTTTCCATATGGTTCACCACTGCAAATGCTGTGGCAGGTTGCAAAAATGGCCCCAGTTCTGCACACCTTCCTGTATCTATGCTCCTTTGTGATGTCACTTTGCAGATTTTCCCCTTGGGAGGTGGAATCTATTTCCCCACCCTTGAAATTTGTCACATTGTACAAAGTGCCAAGTGTAGATCTTATGCTCCCCCCCTTCCTCTTGGAACCTTCTGCAGCCACCATGTGAAGAAGCCCCAGTTAGCCTGCAGGACAATGAGAGCCATAGTTCTATCTGTTTCATCATCCTAGCTGACGGTCAGCCACTCCTCTCAGAGACAAAATTACTTAGCTCACCCATAGCTGACTACAATGCCTGAGGAAACTCAGCCAAAACAAAAAATTGCTCAGCTGAGCCCAGACCAAATTGATGACCCAAAGAAATCATAAAAGGTTATGATTTTAATCCTGTAAGTTTGGAGATGTTTGTTACACTGCAAAGCTAACTGATACATCAGCATTCTAGACAATGAAAAGGGGGAAATGGAGGAATGGAGGGCAGGCACCTTTCCATTAAGGGTACTTCAAGGAAGTTACAGTGATTAATTTTACTCACAACCTATTGGCCAGAAACCAGTCACATGGCCTTACCTAGTTGCAAGGGGCAAAGGAAAATGTTTCTCTGGCTAACCATGTGCATAGTTTAAAACAAATTAGGAGTCTTACCATAAAGGAAGGGTTAGAATGGATACTGGGGAAATATTAGATGTCTTTAATGGAGAGATTTAGATAAGAGATCTCCAGGAAGACTTCCTGAAAGAAGAGGCAGGATTTGACAGATTCTTGGAAGTCAGCCTAGGGAAAGGGCTGCAAACTAAGCAGGAGGGTTTCCAGGTTTTACCTGAAGGTTTCCATTATCTCCCGAAGGCTTCAACTCAGGGACAGGCTGACTGAGAAACCCATCCTCACCAAATGCTCTGGCCAGAGCAAAAGGCAAAGACTGGAAAATTTTTCTTGGAAATCTCTGCCAACAAAGACATAGAGGAAAGTGTTGAGGCTGCTGTTGAAACAACCCAGGGAGAATATAGCCCAGACGATAAGCAGCATCCTGGGGTCGGATTCCTTTTGCTCTAACAATTGGACCAAGCGCACCATGTTAAATGGGAACCAGGAGATGAAAAAGGCACTCACCAACACCAGCAGCAACCTCTTTGGTCGGCTAACATGGACCCAGCCCTCCCGCCGGAGCCTGGTGCAGATGAGGTGAGCACAGGTACCAATGATCGCCAAGGGTACAAGAAACCCAGCAGGAAGCGAATGACAGTCTTAGTCACTTGCCTCCCCCAAACTACTGGCTTCCAATCCTGGGAGTTCTCCTCCCCCTTATTGTCTATGTCGAACTTGAAGTAGCAGTAGAAACATTCTTTCAGTGTTCCAGTTGTCTGGAATTTCAAGTACGGAGAAGAAGCAATAGTAGCCAGGGGCCACATGCCAACAGCCAGCCAGGTTGCCCACTGTACGGTGTGGTGGTTTCATGACCAGACAGGGTAGATGACAGAGATGCAATGGTCCACAGAGATGAGGACCAGGAGGCAGACACTGGTAAAGAAGTTGAAGGTCAAGAAGGCCATGTAGAGCTTGCAGGCCAATTTGCTGAGGAACCACTGGCCACTGGCTATGGTGTGTATGCGATGGGCAGGGACAGTGAGAAAGAAGTTGTCAAGGGCCAGGTTAAAGAACCACATGGTAGTGACAGTGCAGGCCAGTCGGAAAACTGTCATCCAGAGCACCAGCCCGTTGACCACTATACCAACCACAAAGGACACAGACATAATGGCCATGGTCAGCTGGCGGAGGCACCCCACCTCCTCAGGATGGCATTTGGAAGCAGAGGTAGAATTCATCTTTCTAGAATAGGAAGGACCATATGTTAGTGCTATGTTACCATTCACTGCTTTTCAGAGCCCAGGGCTCCCTCTGACACCCCTTCATTTAATATATTTTTATTGAATGCTTATTATGTCACTCTGATATTGCTCTCTGTCCCAGAAGTGAGTCATGTAACAAAACAGACTCTCCTAGAACTTACATCCTAATGGGCAACATCAGATGGGAAACACAATACATATAATAAATAAAACCATGATATACTACTTTAGAAGATTAAAAGTGCTGAGGGGAAAAATAAGGAGGGGCCTCTGACTTTTGGTTAAGTTGGAGTAGCTTTGTCAGACAAATAGTCTGGCAGATAAATTATAAAATCTGGACAAAATGTTAAAAGTCAATCCACAGTTTGAAGACATTGGAGAGTGATCAAAATCAAGCATAAACTGAAGGAGAATCTACCTCGATGGGGGAACTGCATGAAGTCACATTTGTGAGTTTGCATCTTTTGTGTGTGAGCGTTTTGCAGTTGCTGCATCCTCACTGGCTTGAGGTGTGAGAGGACAGAGTTATGGCAGATCAATCAGAAAGACAGTGAGAAGGGAGGGAATTGTGGAAGGAAGGGGAGCCCCAGGGAAGGTTAACTCCAAAATCTGCATATGAAATCCATCCAAATCCTTAACTGACTAAATTATTTATGTTCAGAGGAGATCGCAGGATGCCTGGTGAAGAGAAACAGTTGGAATTTGAAGTAACTGAGCAGAGATTTCAGCTGTTTCCCACCACAGGGATTAGAGTTTGGAGTTTGAGTCCAGCCAACTTAACTGCCTGCTAGAACAAGGAATCACTCTTCAGAAGAACATAACACAGTGCAGAGTCTCTACAATATATCATGCATAATGGCCAGTATCCAATTAAAAACCACTATACATGTGAAGTAACAGGAAAGCATGAGCCATACATTCAACAAAGAAAGGAATCAATAGAAAACAAATTCAAGATAACATGGAACATTGCAATACACAAAGACATTAAAGCACCTAATACAAATATGTTCAAAGACTTAAAGGGAAAGATATGCATAATTAGTGAACAGTTGGGGAATCTTAGTAGGAAAGAGATATTATGAAAAAAGAGTCAAATTAAAATTCTAGAGCTGAAAACTACAATTGAAATGAAAATTTCACTGGCTGGACTTCACAAAAAATTCAAAATGAAACCAGTGAACTAGAAGATAGAGCAATAGAAATTATCCAACCTAAAGAACAGAGAGAAAAAATATTAAAGAAAAATGAATAGAACCTCAGAGACCTGTAAATTAATATCACTCAGTTCAGAAGGAGAGGAAAAGAAAGTGGGAGAGAAATGTATCTGCAGAAATAATAGTTGGTAATTTACCAAATTTGGTGCAAGGCATTAACTTACAGATTCAAGAATTTCAATAAATTCCAAGCAAAATGAATAAAAGAAAATTATACCCAAGCACATCATAATCCCTGCTCTTGTCTCCCTTGCTAAAACTGTGTTCCCTTCTACCTCTTGGCCTTTGCACCTGCTGTTCTCTCTATCTGGAACACCCTTCCTTTCCCTCTGCCTTTTAATTTTGCTCATTCTTGAGATGTCAGCAAAATTTTCCCTTCCTCCCCAAAAGCCTTCCCTGACCATCTTGACTGAAGCAGACCCTCTGGTAGAAGCTTCTCATATACTACAAGATTGTAAGGGGTAGCAATTAGACCCAACTTCGTTAGACTCTCTGATCAAGAGTCTGACCAAGACTCTGAGTTCCATAGAGGCGAGGCCTGTACATAGCTTGTTCATTAGACCCTAGCACATAGTAAGCACTCAATAAATAATTGATAAATGATTGGCTAAGGAGGAAAATCTCTCCCTTGTCCCCAGAGGATGGATTCAGTCATTTAGCCTAAAAGTATGCATTGAATCCATAGTGTATGCCATACACTCTAAGCACTGGGGATGCAGCAGTGACGAAAATAGTCAAAGAGCTCTTCCCTGGTGGAGCAGACATCAGAGGCATGAGAAAGTTCTTCACCTGGAGGAGGTGTTTCAGAACTTTTCATCTCTTTTGTCACCTCCTCCTCGCACACCCTGGCCGCACCTCAACTATCCTTGCTTCCAAGCCCCCACCCTCTGAGCTCCCGAAGGCCCCTTCCTCCAAATCCCAGTCCCATGTCACCATTTCCTGTGTCCAAGGGCGAGGTTCAGGCCAAGGGAGCTCTGTCTGTCTCTGTCGTCTGTCTTGGGTAGTCGCTAGCCTTGAGCCTGTGTTGGGGTTGGGGGCATGTGACAGGAAGACGGTCAATGAGTTTTGGAGCAGATAAGGCACAGGAAAGAGTCTCGAGCAAGAGGCATGATGACCCCAGAGATCAATATCAGAGCCCAGGAAGCGTCATTAGATGTGGATCTTGATAAGCCCTTGGGGCTGGGAGCTTGGGGGCCACTAAAGAGGAGAGGGGCTCCAGAGACTGTTTCACTGCATCATTCCCATTCTTCTCACTTGTACTTTCTTGTATCCCACCCCACTGCCCCATCTCAGGAAGGGAACTCAATCTACACTTCCTTACTTTGGGGAGCTCCAATTGTCCTTTTCTTCAGAAATGATGGTGGCTGTAATGGTGGATAGGGTTTTTCCTTTTTATGAGCCCCCCCCCAAAATGTGTCTTCTCCACCAGTTTTCCCAATGTATGTTATGTATGTATGTGTTGGGGGTTGGTGGTCCACAGAATTCCAAGTTCTACGGGGATGTCCCCAGATGTCCAGGGTCAGTAAGGAATATGTGACAAAGCCAGCCCAAGCATCAGAACTACCCATATAATCACAAGCAAAACACACGGTGGTTGTTTTAAGCCTCTAAAATTTGGGATTGTTTGTTTGACAGCCATGGCTGACAGTATACATGGAAAACAGCCCCTTTCGTTCAACCTTCATTAACCATGTGTCAAGGACTGGCTGTGTCCCAGGCACTGGGCTGGATGTTTGAGAGAGGAGGGTAAACACACACAGACTCAGGCCCTGCCTGCCTACAGGAAACTTTGAGCACTGGGAGAGACAGACATGAAACAGACACACTGACAAAAAAAAAATGTATTTATTTACAAGTGGGGCTACGGGTTCTGAAGAAAAAGAAGATACTTTGATGAGGGTTTCAACAAAGGAAATGGTGTCAGGGCCAGAGGTTTGTGGAGGAAGTGACACTCAGGGTGAGATCTGAAGAATAATAGGGGTTCACCAGGCAAAGAGGGAGGGAGGAGTGTTCCAGAGAGTAGAAGTGGCATGTGCAAAGGTCCTGGGGATCACACCTACTTTTCCATACGTGTCTGGGATGACAGAGCCTTTTCTCCTTTTTATCTTGTTGAGATTTCTTTTGCCAGCATTTGGAATGGCTAGAATTTCCTAAACCAAGCACTCAAATTGCCTTAGTTGAAACTAAGAGAAAACAGCAGACCTATTATAAGGCTCAAAATACAAATATAGGGAAGGAATATACCAGAGGGACTCCTAGAAAATAGAATATGAAGCTTGAAATGTTTTCACCTATGCAAAAGAAAGCAAAGAAGCCAGCTTTGGGAAGGTCCAATAGCTTAAGAAATCAATTCCATTGAGATTTAATTTACATATAATAAAAATTTCCCATTTTTAGTGTACACTCATTTGGTTTCTTCTAAAAGTGTACATCCATGTAACCATCACTGTAATTGAGATCTACAACATTTTTATTCCTCAAAGTTGCCTCAAGCCCCAACTGGTCATTGATCTGCCTTCTGATACTATAGGTTAGTTTCCCTTTTCTTTTTTAGGTTTCATATAAATAAAATCAGACAATTATGTACTCCTTTTAAGGTTTCTAGATTTAGCACATGAAAATACAGGATTTGGTGGGAAGGGTATAGTTCAGTGGTTGAGTACGTGCTTAGCATGAATGAGTTCCTGGGTTCAATTCCCAGTACCTCCATTTACTAAGTAAGTAAATAAATCTAATTACCTACCCCACCAAAAAAGGAAAAAAGTGCTCCCAAAAAAAAGAATTTCAAAAAAAAAAAGAAAATACAGGATGCCTTAGTACATTAGAATTTCAAGTAAACAACATATTTTTTAAGGATTTCTTGGGACATATTTATACTGAAAAAAATTGTTGTTGATCTAAAATTCAAATTTAGCTGGAAATCCTGTATTTTATCTGGGAATGCTTATATCTTTATGTCTGGTTTCTTTTGCTCAGCACAATGTTTTTGAGATTCATCCATATTGTGTGTTTCAGGAAGCTCTTCCCTTTTCATTGCTGAGTAGTACTCCATTGTATGGACATAGCAATGTACTTATCCATTCTCCTCTCAGTGGATGTTTGGGTTGTTTCCACTTTGAGGCTTGCAATGGACTGAATGCATCCTCCTTAAAAGTCATATGTTGAAATTCTAACCTCCAAGATGATGGCATTAGGAGGCTTTTGAAAAAGGGCCTTTGAAAGGTGATTAAGTCATGAGGGTAGAACCCTCATGAATGAGATTAGTGCCCTTATAATAGAGACTCCAGAGAGCCCCCGGCTCCTTTCACCATGTGAGGACACAGCAAGAAGATGGCAAATAGGAAGCAGTTTTCACCAGATATTGAAATCTGCCAGTGCCTTGATCTTAGACTTCCCAGCCTCTGGAATAGTAAGAAACATATTTCTACTGTTTATAAACCCCTAGCCTATGGTATTTTGTCATGGCAATCCAAACATACTAAGCTCTGAATTAAGTTCTGCCTGTCCAGGCTCAATATTGAACAATTTTCTTTCCCTGCAGATGATGCTGGCGCCCGTGAACCTGTGGTTGCTGCAGACACATGTCACAGAGGACCTGGAGAATTAATTGCAAAGAGAGTTTGTGGGAGATGGACATGGGACTCTGATCCTAATAAGCCTCTGGCATGCAGAGCCCTCAGTCTTGTCTCCCCTTCCCCCCAACCCCGTGTTTCCCAGGGCTGTCATGACAATGAATTAATTAATTAATACATGCAAAGCACTA